AGGTATGTAAATTAAGACAGAATTTTTTTTTTTTGAGTGGGCTATCCCTAGTCTTTGAATCATTCACTCAATCAGTTTATTCAAAACACTGATTCATTTAGGAAGGAAACACGACTACAGTGTGCTGCTCAGAGTCACAATGTTGATTTCCTGATGTGGATTCATTTGGAACTATTTTTGTTGATGGAGCAAAAATATACAACGGTTTTGTCTAAAATGTTACTTAATATTAACTCAAGTTCAAGGTTCAAAGTTTATTTTAAAGGGTTCATAGGATGCCCATTTTCCACAAGTTGATATGATTCTTTAGGGTCTTAATGAAAAGTCTGTAACATAGTTTGGTTAAAATTTCTCAATGGTGGTGTAAAAAAACACCTTTTTTTCGCTGTCAAAAACAGCTCTTTTCAGATCAAGCCATTTTGTAGCATTTCCCTTTAAATGTTAATGAGCTCTGCTGACCCCGCCCCTCTCTTCCAGCTGCTCTCAGAGAGACTGTTTACTTTAGCCGCATTCATCGTGAAACTTGCTAATTAGCACATTATTAGGAAAGGCGATTTGCAAAGATTCATTACAAAACATTATACTCACTTCTTCTGTAGATGAGGCTGGATCATGAATGATTCGCGCGAACATAGACGCATTTATGTAGATCGGGGGCGCATTCCCTTCAGAAACATATAATCCACTGCCAGTTCAGCGGCTCAGATGTCGGGAGTAAATGAGGACTGCTATGTTCATTATTACATCCAACAACAGAACACCTCAATCGCTTAGGCGTCATTCTTGTCTACAACTGCTCCAGAGGTGAAACAATGGTGGACTGATGACAGCTAAGGCGATGTGCAAAGATTCATTGCAAAACATTATACTCACTGTAGATAAGGCTGGGTCATGAATGATTCGCGTGAACATAGACACATTTAAGCAGATCGGGGGAGCATTCCCTTCAGAAACAAATGTAATCCACTGCGGGTTCAGTGGCTCAGATGTCGGGAGTAAATGACGACTGTTGTTCATTATTACATCCAACAACAGAACACCTCAATCGCTTAGGAGTCATTCTTGTCTACAACTGCTCCGGCGGTGAAACAATGATGGACTGATGACAGCTCACTCAGGGCGGAGCTAAGGTAAGACGCCAGTCCAGTCTGTGCTGAAACGCTACTGTCAATCAAACTATCATGGGAGGGGCCTGTCTGTGTGAGGTCACACAGGCATCTGAGATCGGCTTGATTTGAGAAAGGGGAAAACATTTAACCAGATTTTTAAAAAAACACTGGGTTGATTTTTATCATTATAGGGTGGTTGTGTACACACACTGCCAACACACATTTCAGTTCAAACAACTTCTAAAAGTGCATGTAGCATCCTATGACCCCTTTAAGCCCAAAGGGCAATTATTGGTGCAGCATAAAATTTGTAAACATATCAAAACACAAAACAGCAACACAACATTCTGACATCTTACAAATTTAAAAGCCTTACAGCAGTGGGAATAAAAGAATGTCTATGCCGATCGCTTTTACGTTTAGGCATACTATAACGTATACCAGAAGGAAGCATTTTAAACTCATGGAACAGTTTCTTAAACTGTTAATGCACTATCACGTGTTGATCAAATATCAGTACTTCTGTGAATGCCTGCAACCTCATGCCTCTGGCCCACATTCATACTGATATAATTCGGAACAGCAGAAACGAATTCAGCTCTGTTGAATGGAGTTTCTGAGACATATTCAACCTTGGCTGAGATGTTTCCTCCTGAGTGGAGAGATTGCCTGTTCCTCTGCCCAGCCCCAGTAAATAATGACTGCATCCTTGGATGTCACATTTATTCCAGTTACATGCTCTCTCTCCCTCTCTCTGTTTTACCCTCCTGCGGGCATGAGAAGTGGGAAGCTTGAAAATGGTTAATCCACACATTAGAAATATAAACAACAACTATACCGATCCCGATATACTGGTAAAAGAGCATAACTTAAACAGCTGTAAACTATGAATGAACTAGATTATCTTATAATGTCACATTTATAGAAACTGATTAAAGATAAATAATTTGATTGATTCTTATGTTGTCAACGTGGTGTTTGCTTTTGTTCACTCAGTGCAGTGTTCTAGACCACTAGATGTCCCCCTGCGCTGTATTCTCCATACAGACAGCTTTCCATACTTGCCAAAGCTCAGTAAGTCCACCAAGCTGCCTTTTTTGGCCTTTAATTTATTTCATTATATTGTTTATTCATTATACTGTTTATATACTAGCAAATATGGTTACTATGTTCATTGAATATTTTGAGTCTTAAAATGTAAATGCAACTTGCACAAAACAGCAGTTTTAGAGTGTGTCAGTCTGCTTTTCTTCATGTAGCTTACAAAAAATGTAAAAGACCAAAGATTATTGGAGCCACCTAGTTGACCATAAAAGGTTGCTGAACATTGTAGTCAAGACCACAGTGGCTCAATGTGGGAGACAAGACCAAGAGCCATTACATTAATACTTTACAGTGATCAATACTTATGTATAAAATGTGCTTTCTTACTAAAGTAACAGTATGCCATAACTGGCATGCTGCATTTTATATATATATGTGTGTGTGTGTGTTCCATGCTTGACTTTTGTGCATAGAAAATTAGTTGTGTAAAAGGTGATGTTTGGAGACCCATAAGTTCCCTTGGGTCTCTTTAAGTACAATAGTACAAACTGTCTGTTTTATTAACATTCAGAGTCAGGCTGTTCCTGCAGCAACACTGATGTCTCTTTGTCATTTGATGTTTTCATTTGATGTCATCTCTTTGTTTTGATGGATCAGCCCACTACAGCAAATTAATTCTGAATTACATCATATAAACTGATGAATATTAGTATATGGTATTATTTAAAACTGAGACATCAAGCAAGAAAATAAAATGTATGCTTTAATTCAGTATATGCAAGGCCTTGGTTGAATTTACAAGACTGAATTATAAACTAGAATCGCCAGATACATTTCAACTAGTAGCTGAATTGTTTAATTTAACTGTAAAAGACAAGAAGATGGTGGAATGATGCAAGTGCTGGAAAAAGAGAGGGGTCTATGATGCTATAATTGAGTACAGTGCTGTTTGGCTCGATATGAATCACTGTAAGGGCCCAGCAGAGTCATAGACAGATGGGAAAACACAAGGAGTGGTGAGTCTTGCTCTGTAGGGTGGATAAAAAAAAGAAAAACAACCAGTCAATATTGTGTGTGTCTGTGTGTGTAAATCAAACCTGCCTCCAAAGACAGTCTGAGATATACTGTTATGAGTATTGCTGAGTCTATTCTCCAGGCAGCAGTAAATTGTCTTTGCCTCGGAGTATTGAAGCACAGAGACCTTCAGCGCAAAAGCAGTGATTACCAACAATCACACTTGCTGTGAATATAGCCACACTAAATGACTGCTGTGTGATGCAGTCAACTCTATTGTTGAGTGACTAAAAAGATTACTTCTGTTTGCATTTTGAGCATTTTAGTCATTCCAAATGCTTAGACAGTAAGATCATAATTCTAATAATTAATAATACACTGTAAAGAGTGCTAATTGTTAAGTTAAAGAGCTATTTCCACCTGATCTTACCCTTAAATTTAGTTTTGTTGGTGTTACGTAATATTCAGGTTGATTCTGTAAAATTAAATAACACTTTTATTCGAATAAAATCAATTAATTTAGATGTTAGCACATTAATAATATTTTTTAGGTTATCATTTTTTCAGTGTACTGTGCAGTGGCCCAGACTGACCGTACTGATACATGATTAAAATTTACCTTCATTTTTACTAGGGACCTTGGAGGATGTTACTGTTAAATTACAATGACCAAGAACTCACAAATCTATTCATCAAACACTTTAATTATATCATATACACTGCAAAATGATTTATTTTTGTCTTGTTTTCAAGTACAAACACCTCACTATTCTTAAATCAAAATACTTTTACTTGAAAAGCAAAATGGCTGAAGATGTTATGTCTTGTTTTCTAAAAACCTGATTAAAATGAATTGAGTTTAAGCTTTATGATATGATATCTGCCAGTGGGGTCAGGAAAATAGGGGGTGGGGGGAATTCTGACCCCACTGGCAGATATTTTTTTCTTGTTTTAAGCAAAAACTCCCTTAATTTATATTTATTTATCAGAAAACAAGACTTATTATCTCGTGTCATTTGCATGCCCATTAGGCTAAATGTATATTCATTGAAGAATGTTTAGATATTTGTACTGGAAGACAAAAATATCATTTTGCATTGTATAACATTTACATTTAATCGTTTTGCAGATGCTTTTATCCAAAGCGACTTAAAAATTAGGAGAACAATAGAAGCAATCAGACCAACAACAAGTGCTGTCTCAGTTAGTCTAGTACACAGTACACATAGCAAGGTGTTTTTTCTTTTAATAAATTTAAAATAAATTGAATAGAATAGAACAGAACAACACACTAATACATATGCTAAAATTAAAGGAGTAGTTCACTCACAAATAAAAGTTCTGTTATCATTTATCTCACTTGTTGCACCTTTATTTTCTTTCTTACACTGAAAGTGAATGACATGGTTGTCATTCTGCTTGGCGTTTTCTGTCACATGGAATAAAGTCATATGGGTTTGGAACAACATCTGGTGAGTAAATGCTGACAGACATTGTATTTTGGGGGTGAACTGTATCTTTAATATAGGCCTGTTTGATCATATGGACAGCAGCTCACACATCCCTAGTTTGACACATTGCTCTCAGGGGACACATATTGAGGGTTATTTTTAGTCTGGTAATAATATTCACTTTGACAATTAAAAAAACTGCACTCACTTTAGACACTAAAGCTGTTTTATCTTTTGATTGCGCCCTTTTATTACTGATAAAATTATTAATAAAATCTATCTATCTATCTATCTATCAGATGTGTTTGTGGGAGGAGGAGGGAATAAAAAGAGCCAGTAGAACGGGAAAGGAGAGAGAGAGGTCATCATTTGGTGCAGGCTGTGGTGTAGATGAGGACACGCATGAGCTGAGTCCTCCACACCGGCAAACTGTCCTTACGGAAGACGAGTCACTGTAACCGCCTCACGCAATACCGAATCGCAGTTTCCGTGTGCCGGTGATTTTCATGGTTATTAATAGGCTGCCGTGGTCCTCCGTCGGTTCCTTTGGACCATTCAGATCACCGGATCAAATGCGAGTGCGCAGTTTTTGAGGTGACAATACTAAGAAGATTCATTTCATACGACTCAATTTGAACGCAGACCGGAATCTGAGGCGACGATATCGGAGCCGTGCACGTCTCGTTGAGGATCCATCTGCACTCGTCCTCAATGGTCACCTTCTGTCCGAGCCTGTCTTTCTGCTTGCTGCAGACCGCATCAGAGGATGTACGCGGAGGGAAGCACGCCAGACACTGAGCCAGACGAGTGCCAGAAGAAGACATCATGCTTCTCCAACATCAAAATATTCCTCATATCAGAATGTGCCTTAATGTTGGCACAGGGCACTGTAGGAGCCTATCTGGTGAGTCGAGCCATTAACACACGCAGCTCATACTGCGTACGTACTGTATGTGCATGACATTGAATGGTGTCCGGTACGCATCGCTTATCTTTTCCCTAAAGCGAAATAAACAGCATCATGAGGCAGGGCTTCTTGCGTGTGTATCGCGACTGCTTTATTTCCACATGATTTAGAGGCGCTATAATGAAAAATTACCATCAGTCCAGTGAGTGACCTCTCTCTCCTTTCCAACATTATGTTCATCAGTGGCTCAAAAACAAAAGAATCTCACCGACCGATTACCTTAATATTTTGTCTTTGAGCCACTTATGTACATAATGTTGGAAACAAGAATTTGTCAGAATGATCAGATCTTATATGTCAAGTTGTTTTGACATTTATTCCTTAAAATATGAGCTATTTTGATGTTACCGTTGTACGAATTTTCTAATTACTAGAAGTAATACAATATTGACTAGTACTTTTTTTTTTTCAATTTCACTATTAACTTTTCAATTAATATTCAGTAGTGTCTAGTGGGCCCTGTCTGTGACTGGTCACTATAGAGACAATATTACGTTATGGAATAGTAAATATGGACTATTATTTTAATATAAATTACTTACCTATTTTGCATGTTTATAACAATTTTAATCGTTTTGTCATTTCAATTTTATATTTAGTTTTTAAGAGTGACTCTGATGAACTTTTTAACTGCATTTACAGTAATGTTCATTAATGTGCACCATGATAAAAAAATAGAAAATGGTTGCTATTAAATTTTATTGGGGGGTCTTTGATTCCAATTCTTTACTAGCGTGTATTTCAGTTGTTGCTGGTACTTATTTCATTTTTTTTCTTTACTTTTTTAATAATTATTCAAATAGCTGCCATTAGGCTATATCAGGGGTGTCCAAACTCGGTCCTGGAGGGCCGGTGTCCAGAAGAGTTTAGCTCCAACCCCAATTAAACACACCTGAACCAGATAATCAAGCTCTCACTAGGCATACTAGAAACTTAAAGGCAGGTGTGTTGAGGCAAGTTGGAGCTAAACTCTGCAGGACACCGGCCCTCCAGGACCGAGTTTGGGCACCCCTGGGCTATATATTCTAGTTTACTTAGTATCTAGGTTGTTACTAACATTTTTAATTGAACTAAAGTAGAAATTGAACTAAAGAAATAAAATAGTGATTCTAACTAGTTATTGCATACAAGCAAAAAGGAAATGTAACTAGGTAAGAAATGTCACTAATAACAATTAGGATAAGTACTCTGAAAAAAACAACAGAAATCAGTGACAAAAATGTGCAATTTATTGCCAGTAAAAATAGTGACTTGTTAAAAAAAAGTACTAGTAATGTAAACACAGATACTAGTTAGTTTAATGGAATAAATGTTGAAATGGTCTGCCCTAGTCTTTATGTTAGCTTTCAGTACAAGAGAAAGATGCACACAGTTACATTATGAATTCATCTGCTATGTAGGATTGAGAGTAAAGTGATAATGATTGATTTGTCATTTTCCCTAGCGATGACTTACCTTGTGCTTTATCTGAGGTATTTAATATGTTATGTATGAAAGGTGACGTAAATGTCGCATTTTCAAAACACTCAAAAAACATAAAACACTCAAAGTTCAAGTCCATAACAATAAACAATTTGTCAACACTCATATGGATGTTTACATTTGATTTATACCTTCAATACAGAATCTATGTTCTCATCAAAATCTCACCAATCTATTCTGTTGTTTAAGATCTCTAAGCTACAAATGAAATATTTGTTTTGAATATGAATTTTTGATTTAAGGGACATTTAGTGATTGGTGTCAGTTCAAAAGTGCATGGTCATACAGCTTTGTAACAGTGCAGTGTTTCTTTATATTTTAGGTCAGTGTCCTCACCACACTGGAGCGCCGTTTCAACTTGCAGAGCGCTGATGTGGGTGTGATCGCCAGCAGCTTTGAGATTGGCAACCTTGCCCTCATCCTATTCGTCAGCTACTTTGGGGCCAGGGCCCATCGGCCGCGGCTGATTGGTTGTGGGGGCATCGTAATGGCACTGGGGGCATTACTGTCAGCGCTGCCTGAGTTCTTGACCCACCAGTATGAATATCAGTCTGGAGAGTCACGACCTGTGGGACAAGGAAAGGATGTGTGCTCCAATACAAGTCGAGCAGGGCTCTCTGATCCTAGTTACATCTGTGGGAATAGAACCAATACCAACATGATGTACCTGCTGCTGATCGGAGCTCAAATGCTTCTGGGGATTGGAGCGACACCCCTACAGCCTCTGGGCGTGTCTTACATCGATGATCACGTCAGACGAGAAGACTCTTCCCTTTATATTGGTGAGAGTGATCTGCACAACACTTTTTTTTGCGTTTTGTACACCCCTCCAGCCCTATCAGTGAGGCTAAAGTGCCCCGACGTCATCTATATTGTAGTAGGGTTGGGCGATGTCTACCAAATTGGCATCAGACGATGTCTACAGTGAAACATCATGATGGACTATGACATGGTGGGAGGATATCAGTTCTCTAGATGGCCATCTGCCAAAACATTTGGGGGGGTTTCACGATGCCGGCTCAACATAGTGATGGACGATGGCATCGTCTATTGGCCCATCCCTATATTGTAGATGACAGACTCAGCCAGTAGCACATATATTTTACTGCTAGGTTCAACTACAAATAAATGAAACATGCACACATTATACACATAATTTTGTTATCTTACCTTAATTAGGAACAGAATTAATAGTAGAGTGACGGGTACTTGGTGACCAGGGGTAAATGGATACATTTTGATTTTACCCTATTAAATGCATTATTAAATACATTTGTTAAAATAATTTTAAAATATTATTGCAATAATTATAAGAATAATAATTATTATTATTATTATTTTAAATGGTTCCATTTTATAGGTTTATAGAACATGAATAAAGGGGGAAAAGTATGATTTATTTATTTAGCTAAATTGGTTCTACTTTATAATTAAGTAAAAATCAATATATTCTAAGTACTCCTGGTTGGAGATCACTGATCACTGAAGAGAGAGAGAGAGATTAATTTGTAACACTTTACAATAAGATTAAATTAATTAACATTAGTTATTGGATTAGGTATGATTTACTAACAACATTAGGTTTGATTTACTAACATTTTTTACAGCTTTTTTTTTTTTTTACTGCTGCTTATACTGTTGTTGTTGTTAATTAATGTTCATTCATATTTTACTTGAAACCTGAAATGTTAAAAATGTATTAGCATATGTGGAAATTAACATTCACCAAAAAATTAGTTACAATATACGATAAGGTCATCAACGTTAACTAACAATGGGCAACACATTTGTTACAGTATTTATACATCTTTTGTTAACGTTAGTAAATAAAAACACAACTGTTCATTGTAAATTAAATGTTAGCTCAGGTCCATTAAATAATAAGAACAGATACAACGTTTGATTTTAATAATGTAAATAATAATAATGTAACAATTAACAATAATGTAAATGTTGAAATTAACGTTAACTAAGATTAATAAATGCTTTAAAAGTATTTTTCATTGTTAGTTCATGTTAACTAATGTTAACCAATTTAAAGTATTAAAAAAAATAAAAAAAAAGTAAAAGTATTATATATTGTTGCTTCATAATGCTTTATATATAGAACATTATTGTAAAATGTTACAGATTAATTGTTCTAAACTGGCTTGTTGATCTTAATCTATTCTACTCCACTTCAGGAGAGAACAATAACACCAGGTTAAAATGCTTCCCTTTCGCATGTGAACCAGGTGCCATGGCAATGCTTAAACATTCACCAGGGTCTACACCAAACAATAGGAAACAGTGAACTAGAGGTGTAATAGGTTGGACCTAGAGAGTTTGTGATTGTTACCACAGTAGCCTGAGAAATACTTTTTTGATATCTCACTCAACATGTTTTAGAAGCTGTATTTGAAATGCCCTCAAAAGTGCACTATTTGAACCCCTGGAAAAGTGTCTGTAAACGTGCTGGTCCGGCACTAAAAGAAACACTACAGAGTATTGTTGTTGTTTTAGGGCATATCATGTAGCAGTACGGTCAATATCCTGCCGTTGCAGCAATTACAGCACTTATTATTATTAATGATTCATAAGCCACAAAAGGTTGTATCCTTAGTGTATCAGCCCTTTACTGCTTCCTGGAGGACTCCCTGGCAGAAAGCTGTTGTATGAAGATACACAAACAGCATAGATATTGCACATGGCTGGAATATCAGCTGTAGTAGTCTAGGTTTGGGGCGACCTCACTTTGGAAATTTCCATGTACCAAGCTTAAACCCATTGGTTTAGTGTAGTGCACCATTGTCTTAATCTCCTGTTGCTATGTTAAGGAGTAAGCAAGAAGCAATGATGGCCTTCAGTGCCTGTTTTTTTTCTGCTGTGAAGCTAATGTGTGCTGGCTGCTCTGTCATCCCTCAGGCAGCTCACTCGCTCTCTCTCTCTATTCTTCTCACTCTCTTTCTCTCGCACTACGACAATGATTCTCCATATATTTGATACAAATAAGGAACAGACTTAAACCCTAGAATTGAAAATAAAACCTGAAATAAAACCCTAGTATTGAAAATGATCAATGTATGACTATTGTAGTCAAGTAGCTTTCCACAGGTAATTAAAGGCCTGGCTGTGAAGATAGTTCTGAATGTCTGTGGGTTTCCATGTGTGCTTTTTACAGCATTTCTGCTGTGTCTCCTTTCCTGCAGTGTGTCTGATGTCTTTGCATTGAGCTGACTTGTCTGTCTATGAGCATTAATGTCTGTGCAACCCATGTAAGCTTCTTTCTCTCTCCCTCTTGCGTCTTTTAATCCTTTTTAACCTTTAAACTGGACCTGTCTCTCATTTAAGCATAATGTAAACTAGCACAGACATAAACATCCTCTTTGGAGACAGTCATTGCTGGTGGGCATAATGGAATCAAGTTATTAAGCTGTTTGATCACAGAGGCTTTGGTGAACAGAAATGCATTTGGTGTCTTTCACAAAGGCACAAGCAGAAAGGCCTATCTGTTTTAAGTGAATTATCCAGCGTCTGTATTCATACAGAATACCAGAGTAAGAGAACTGATCTAGGATTACGTTCTCTTGTGAGGGGTAACATTAGGACTGACATGCATGATCTAAGATGCTTAATCAATTTCATCCAGGCTAATGGATAAAACTAAAACACTTTTTAAGATCAGAGCAAATATACCATTAAAGGTCATGTTACAGACCCTTCTGCCCTCTTAACTTTTCAGCAAGGAGGTGAGATTCATTCTTTCCATAGTAAAGGCCCGTTCACATCAAGAATGATAACTATAATAAAGTTTTAGTAATCATTCTAATTCTATGAGAATTGTGAAGTCCACACCACAACTATACAATAACGACACGGGAACGATATCATTGGAATCACTTTCAGAATGATTCTTTCCAGCTGAAAAATGATAAAAACAGTAACAACCAATCAGAATCCTGTTTTAAAGAGCTTTAGCATTTAAAGTGACAGACGACATCTGCAGCACACTTATAATAAACAAAACGTGATTGTGTGTTTGTGTGGACACTAATAGTTATTATTCTTGGTGTGAATGGGCATTGAGCCTTACATACTTTTATTACATGGCTCTCTAGAGTGACTACTCAATTCTGACTGGTTAATTGTGCCATCCAGTGCTTTGATGTGCCTAATATTCACTGTAGTCATGGCAATGCCATAAATCAGACCATTCTTCCGGGTAACTGAAGCCGGTCCTGTGTTCATGTCTCTTGTATCACAACACAGACTCGTTCATTCTTGTTTCATACAAACTTAACTGGCGTCATCTTGTGAGGATCTCAGTATTATCCTGAAAAAATATGTATTACAATTTCCACAGAAATATTTACAGGACAGCTGTTTTTAACATTGATAATAGTAAGAAATGTTTCTTGAGCACCAAATAAAGCAATAAGCCCCAAGAAGCCGTAGTTTACAGTGAATTTATAACAGCTAAGGGGCTTTGTTACGACGCAAAGCAGAGTGCCTAAAACCCCCTTAGCTGTTATAAATTCACTGTAAACTACGGCTTCTTGGGGCTTATTGCTTTTATAAAACGGTTATTCCATATACGTAGTAAGGTTTCACAAAATAAAACAGAGCAAATTAAGTGTAATTATATTAATAAAAACATTATTCTTCTAGTTCCTCAGAAATGGTTGTGGTTCCAACAAAGTGGTTGCCGAGCAACACACAGACGTAAACAAAGGTGTATGTTTGTAGAGCAATTTACAACAGCTTCGAACGCGGCTCAACCAATCAGAATCAAGGACCTGAACTATCTGTTTTATAATCTTAATTTTAGAATGAAAATTCGGTTTTGCCATCTCAGGAATAAATTCCATATAAATATATATTAAAACAGAAAATAGTTATTATAAAATGTAATTATATTTTACATATAAATTATTGATTGTATTTTTGATCAAATAAATGCAGCACATGGTGCAAATGCAAATGGTGACCATAAGAGACTTTTTTCAAAAATATTAAATAATCATAAATTTGACCAAACCCAAACTTTTGAATGGTAGTGTATTTATTTGGTAAGTGGGCATATAATGCAGAAGAGAATGCACAGTCAGTCGGTCATTATCGCAAAATAAATCCCTTCAGGGTGAAATAAGATTATCCCATCGATTGCGTCTCATTATCTCTCACATGTTAATTTATAGTAGTATCTGGCTGTTTGTGTACTTCAGTGTTCTCTGTTAATGATTATGATGTGCTGCTTCTGTGTCTGGACAGATAATTACTCACCGAAGGGTAAAACAGCTGATGGTACAACCTTTACCAACACATTCACAATCTATATATTGACTACTACAGTTTTGGTATTCCCACAAGATATAATACTCAGCACAGAAATATGTGTGTGCTTGTCAGCTTTTTAGATAAACCCATCAGGTGCCAGCTATTGCAATGATGATGTAGATTATGTAAATTGTTTCCCCCAGAAAACATTTAATAATTAAAGGAATTAGCTCCTTTACATCGGACTACTTAAGGTTCTGCCTCAAAATAGAATATGCTATAATTCTCCTTCTATAATAATTCTAATAATAATAATCTCTAAAACTTTTCCCTAAAAAGAGGCTATTTATTTAAGCATCTAGATCATTAGTGTAAGTGCCTTGTTAATAACGGAAGGATTTGAGTCAAGGGTTTGAATGAATTTCATTTAAGTGAATTGACAACAGTTTGGCCAAGACTTTGCATGAATGAGTATAATTTTCTTGCATAACTTCTTTGACTCTAGTCTTTTGTATTGCATTACAGGTATCTTATTCTCTACACTGGTTTTTGGACCAGCCTGTGGTTTTATTCTTGGCTCTCTGTGCACCAAAGTTTATGTTGATGCAGTCTTCATTGACACAAGTGAGTACCGGCATCAAAAATGGATACACTGAAAAATGAATAACTTTTGTTATTTTTCGTTATTTGTAAGTGGCTCTAGATAAAAGCATCTGTTAAATCAATACATGTAATGAAACACGGCGTCTCATTAAATATCTCTGTTCGCTCCTAACAGCCACGCTGGACATTACTCCTGATGATCCGCGCTGGATCGGTGCCTGGTGGGGCGGCTTTATCATCTGTGGCCTTTTCCTCTTCCTCTCCTCGTTTTTCATGTTTGGGTTCCCGCAGTCACTGAACGAGCCTGGGGAGGGCCCAGGAGGTGAGAGTGAGCAGGCCATGCTACCTGCTGAGCTGGTGCAGGAGTATGAAGGAGTCAAAGCCTCGGATGACCCAGAGATCAGCACTGGCCTCACCTGCTGCCAGCACCTGCAGGGTGAGAGAGAGTCTAAACACCTAGAGGTCATGCATTAGATTTTATGAGCAATCGTACATGAAATAATCATTTTCTTTGATTTGTTGTCATTGTTGTCAGTTTGTTAAAGTAGCTTTAGATCTAATTTTAGTGTGGAGAACAAGACCAATCTCTCAAAATGCTGTTAATAGATTTCGACAGGGATTTTTAAACAGGTCTAAGGACCCGCGGGGGAGAAAAATAAAACCCATCCATTTTCCAAACTTGTCCTATGTACGGTCGTGGGGATGCTGAAGAAAAAAAAATAATAGCATTAAAATATTATAATATTACACTGTAATACAACATTTACATAATATTTGTCAAACTTGGCATGTTAAATTAAGATATTAATGTGTAATGCAATATTTTTTAACACATTCATTTATATTCCTATTGTTTTATTCTGCTGTCTAAAGAATGGATAGAAATTAGTCACAATTAATTGTAGGAACATTTTAAAAGACACTATTAAACAAAACATATATATATATTAAAAAAAATTTGCATTAATTTTTAAAAATTAATTTTAATTGAATTAAAATTGTTTTTATGTTGCAACCCTATGCTAAATATACACACACTTACAGTAATAATAAAATTAATACGCTTTCAGCCTTAAACAATAAATATTTTTTAAGCCTTCACACAATATTTAGGTTCTTTATAATCTGTAAGGCCAATAATTTCATTTTGGAAAGTGTTGTCTTTATTATATCATGCTAAATGTTTATATATGTTTAAATATATAAAATTCTATAGCTGTCTTTATATTCCACCAGGAGGGAACAGTTAATGAAAACATATTTGTGAAAGGACCCCTCAAAAGGGGGGCATCAAATTTGCAGATCCTTGACATCAATAAGTTAAAAAAAAATTTAATTCTCTATGGGAACTTAAAAATGGGATTTTTTTTCTGATCATGCACTAATATGAGTCTAATTTCTTCTCAGTTATCCCTAAGGTGACTAAGCATCTGCTGTCCAATCCGGTTTTCACCTGTATCATTCTCGCTGCCTGTATGGAAATCGCTGTGGTGGCTGGATTTGCTGCCTTCCTAGGGAAATATCTCGAACAGCAGTTCAACCTCTCAACGTCCTCCGCTAATCAGCTCCTAGGTGGACACATTTTTTATTTATTTTTGAAACTGCACAAAAACAATCAACTCATAAAATGCCGTTTCATATGAAATCAATGCAAGTAACTGAAAGCTGCCTATCAAATCTGTGTGTTTTCAGGTATGACAGCAATTCCCTGTGCTTGTCTGGGTATTTTCCTGGGTGGGCTCCTGGTGAAGAAGATGAATCTGTCTGCATTAGGGGCTATTCGTCTGGCTATGCTAGTCAATATCATCTCTACGGCCTGCTACGTCTCCTTCCTCTTCCTTGGCTGTGATACGGGCCCGGTCGCTGGAGTTACCGTTGCCTATGGCAACGAGTGAGTAGAGTGCTTCACCATAAAAGCCTCACACAAATATTTAATGATCCACAACAATTGGCAATAAATACAGACACTTAAGGCCCCAACTGTGAGCCCAGAGCTGAAGTCATACGCCCTTGGAGTTCTCTTCCTGTTGCTCCGGCTGCTGGGTAAGATATTTGCATAACAAGTAACACCTACAGTATCTCTGCAGGATCATTTTACAGTTTGTTTAGTTATTTTAAGCATGTGCCTTTATAATGGTATGATTTGGTTGATTATAATTAGCTTATATAACTTATATATACACTACCATTTACCTTTTTTTAATTATTTTTGAGTCGGTAAGATTCTTAAATGATTTTGAAAGAAGTCTCTTAGACTGCCAGCTATAAATAGATTTTTTTTTGCATATCCATGTTGTATCCAGAATTCTGTGTTTTTCTGTCAATATGGGGTGCTGTGTGTACATTAATGAGGAAAAAAAATAAACTTAAATGATTTTAGCAAATGGCTGCAATATAACAAAGAGTGAAAAATTTAAGGGGGTCTGAATACTTTCCGTACCCACTGTATAAGCCGATTTCTGCACATTCCCACTGCCTGGGAGAAATGGGCACTCTTTTAGCGTATCCAGAGTGTTTGAACCAAACAGAGCCAAATGAATCTGACTGTTACTGTAGTCAGGACGTGTATATGCTGGATATATGATATGTAGAGATGAAACGCATCCATTATATTAGGGGACGTGCTAGGTTGCAGTTCCAAAACTGAACAATTAATCTTCCATCAGTCAAAACTAGCCCCAGCTTACAGATATGAGCACCTTTTTAGGTTTAATTTTGGATGGTCTTTTTAGCTTTCTTTTTTTTTTTTTAAGAAATGTAACGAATATTAGCATATAAGTTCTATGAATATTAGCTAATATGTTTACTTGAATATTGTGAGGCTATGGAAATTTCTGTCTATTTTATGGAGGGTCTTAGAAAGCTTGATGTTATTTCTTAATATCTCCTCTGTACAGCCATTAGACTACTAAAAACATAGATACAAGTGCAGAGTTCACACACTTCATGTAACCTATTAATCAACCTAAATACATAATAGTGAACAATTTAGGCCCATGTCTGTGAAAACGTATATAGCTTGAATAGACTAAAGGTTCATTAGTTTCATGAGGCCTCGTCATTTGTCACCTGCAGTGGTCCTGAACAACATCTAAACTAAAGCAACATGCAGCATTAATCAGTAGTTGTTATCAAGCAGAGGACACTGAAGGACGGAAGGATGGATTTATTTCAATGCATGCAGTTATTGCACGTTGATGCATCAGAGCAGGCGCATGGGAATTTTAAGAGAGAAATTGTTTTGGTAAAGGTAGACATTTCCTTTCTAATACACCAGCATCTTCTTAAAGTGGTGTTTTATAATGGTATTACGGCGCCGTGCATACTTTTTTTCTTCCAATCTGTCATCAACATGTTCGCTTGGAAGACCAAATGCTAGGATTAATACAGTTTTACAACATTAAAGTTGTAAAACAAGATTCTTTTTTCTTTAAAGTTACAATACATAAAGGAAATAAACATAAGGAATTGATGTATGAACTACTAAAATATCATTCGGAGTTACACAAGTCATTTTTGTTTAAAGTATTATTTCGTTTCAAACATTTTTGTATGACATTGGTTTCATATACTTATTAATTATTTTCTATGCTTTTTCTAAAAAAAAAAATACAAAAATGTAAAAAAAATAAATAAAAAAAAACAGGAAGGTGGTAGATCCATGGTAATGTAATTAAGCTAAATGCTCTTTATAGAGGAAAATGATTTGTTTCTGCTGCTTTTCAAAGACTTGGTTTACTTGATGCAAGTACACTGAAGAGACCCACATAAGGCAAAACACCAAGCACATTATCTCCCTTCGTGTAAATAGCTTCCCAAGCACATTATTTTAATGCACTGCAATATACGCCGAAATGCTTGATTGCTTGAATGTTGAGGCCGGTGTCAATACAAATGGGATGATATAAGAATGTCATTGTTTATATAATCATTCTCTCTCTATAGATAATTCATTGCCGTAAAAGTGCCAAAGTGATGCCATTTAAGTGTTCGGAGTTCTCTCTCTCTTTTTCATAATGCTGGAATTGTATATGACCGCGAGATGCATTATTGTATTGTACGTAGACATGGTGTGGTATCTTAAGCAGCCATTACACCTTGTACATAGTAACATTTAAGTCTATTCCCTCCAGAACGTAGAACATAGCGATGCTTTAGGCTTTTACAGGTGATGTTACAAGTCTTTTGACGAAATATATATTATTGTTAAATGCAGATGGAGATTATGTTATGCTTACAGAGGAATGTTGTGGTATATTTTTCTACCCATATCTGTATTATGACGCTTCTGTGTAATGACCATAAAAGGTGTACGAGTTAAAAAAATAAATAAAAAATACATGAACAACTATCTGCACTAAAACTTTGTCCTTGCATTTTTATTATGAAGCTCAAACATTTTCTCTGTTGATCAAGCAAAGGTCTCTGCACATAAAGCATATCACAGAACAGGATTTAGTAAATTAATGAAACTGAATTTCAAACTGGCTGTCTACAGATTGTTGAATACGCCTCACAACATGTTTAGATGTATTTTGCACTTTGGCAAATAAGACTGTTTCAGCATTTTTTTAAACCCCAACGTCAGTAACAGACTTCTTTGCTAATATCATACCACACAAATGTGCTGAATAAATGCAGCATCAGTAGGTTGTTCACATTTACACAGCTGAATGTGTTAGCCTCTTGATAATAAATAAATAGTACAGAATGGATTGAAAATATTAAAGCAACTGTAGTGGGGAAGTCGTGGCCTAATGGTTAGAGAGTCGGACTCGTAACCCAAAGGTTGTGGGTTCGAGTCTCGTACCGGCAAGGATTGTAGGTGGGGGGAGTGAATGTATAGCACTCTCTCCCACCTTCAATACCACGACTGAGGTGCCCTTGAGGAAGGCACCGAACCCCCAACGGCGCAGCATAAATAAAAAGCATAAAAAGCCCACTGCTCCGGGTGCTCCTCACTGCTGTGTGTGTGCACTTTGGATGGGTAAATGCAGAGCACTAATTCC